GAGAAGCTGTTCAAGATACACGGCAGGATCAGGGATGGCGCTGCGATCGGCATTGCCCGCCTGGACTGCGACCGTTTCGAGTTGGTGGTCGGCCTACCGCTCCTCCCGCAGCTGGTCAGGCCGGCAGGGCTGGTGGCCGAGGTGCACTTCTGGGGCGAAGGGCGTCGCAATTCAACCCGCGCAGCATAGTAGCCCTCTCGCAGCACAGTAGCCTACCATGACGGGTCGGGCTTCGACACCGCATGGTTTCAGTTTTGTTGCTGCGGCTGGGCTGCGGTGAAGCTGAACGACGACAACAAGCCCGTCAGGGCAGCGTTTGGCGCGCTGCCTGGGCGTCGCCAGGCCGTCGGCCGTGCAGAGCGCCGGGCTTTCTTGCAGATGCTGCGCCCCATGCCGTACGTCTCCCATGTTGTCAGAAACTTGTCGGCCCTGGCCGCCGAGATCGAGAGCTGGGACCCTGGGCTGGCCAGTGCGCGGGGCTTGGCGCTGCGTGTTCGAGCAGATGGACGGCCCCCCGCGACCTATCCACGACGTCTCCCGCATCGAGATGACGGACGCCAGGGAGCAGGCCAAGCTTCTAGCGTGGCCGATTGCGGCGGTCGGCTCGAAAATGGACGACACCCACGATCCACGAGGCCATCCCGCAAAAGGTCCCGAGCTGTTGCCTCTCCTACACCTGCACAGCTCGCGCGGCAGCGCCACCAGCTCGTTTGGCGCGGGTCGAGCTGGCAACGCGGCCTCTGTCTGACCTCAGCGAGCTCGAAGACAGGGCGTAGGCGATTGCAGCGCGCAGAGCGTGTTCCCTCGGCCCTGCAGAGAATGACGTCGCGCGCTCGCGCGCGCCTCCCCTACTTTGCCGCCTCTGCTCCTGCTGCCGCGCCTGTGCCAGCTGCCCGCGAGGAGGCCATCTCGATCGCCCTCGAAGTGGTGGACCGTGTCCTGGGTACCGCGATTACTTATTTGGGGTGGACGGTCGCCAGCAATTGGGTCTCTGGTTCGCGCGGTGGCGGGTCGTCGCGGGGCCCACTCGGGACCCCGGCGAGGAGGCTCCCAGGACGGAAGAGTCGACTAGGGCTGTTGACCGGTGTGGCCAATTGTGCCCAGCGCGGCGTCGAATGGGCCCGATATTGTGTCTAGTATCTTTGGGCCCCATTTTCTGGCTAATTCGGAGGCACCATATGGTCACCGAAGGCGCGTGGGGGCAATATCGACCCGCCAGTCCCCAGTGCCGGTGGCCCGCTGTAATGGCCCCGCAACTTGGGAAACCAGTGGGCTTCGTTCCGTGGTGACGCCCACGTTGCCTCGGGATAGCCGCGTTTTCCTCTAATCAGTCGTGGTTCCCCCGCTTCCTCGGCGGAATCATTCGAGTCGCGCGGCCTCCTCACCCTTTTCGTCTTTCCTTCTTCTCCTGCTCCTCGTCGTCGTCCTCCTCCTCCTCCTCCCTGTCCCTCTTTGCGTGTCCGGGCCCTCAGGAGTACCTTGCTAGTCGCAGACCCTCCTCGTTATCCACCCTTTTCTTCTTCTCCTCCTCTTCCTCCTTCATCATCACCATCATCAGCATCATAATCCCCACCTTCCTCACCCATCATTGTCTTGTCGTTTTTCTTTCTCCCCCATCGAAGTCCGTTTGACATGCCAGCGCTCGAAGGCTGATCGTGTGGGTGGCCCCCACCCCGACCACCTTCCATCCCCTGGGATTCGTTCGTGAGAAGAGGTTCGCTGATGCAGGCCGCGCCCCACGATTAATGTGCGTGTATCATGTGCGTTGTGAAGAGCGCAGCGACGCGAGGCCATGCGTTTAACTTCTGGCCCGGCAGATGCGTGGGCCCTCCAGGGTCCAGACAGCAAGAAAGCCAGGACGGAGTCACAGTGCACTCTGCTCCTATGACGGCCGCTCGTCGCATGTTTCGTGTGTGTTCCTAAGATGTTTGTTTTGCCGAGCCTGTGGGCGTTATGTTGGTACGACGGCGCAGCAGATCGGCGGAATGTGCCCAGTGGCGTTGGCTCTGGAAAGCACGCCTTCGCCTGACCCCATCAGGACTGCAGCCAGTGTTTCGTTTCGTTCGGCCCGAGGGTTGCCCCCGAAGTGTGGTATGGGTTTCCCCTCGGTGTGCGTTTGTCCCGCGAGTCCTTGCTAGAATTGGAGTGTTCATATGGTCAAGACCAGGTCCTCTTCGTTTCCCTCCTCCTCTTCCTTCCGGTCCTCCTCGTCCTCCATTCGCGATTCGTGGATGTATTGAATGGGGTTGCCCGACATACTGTGATGAAACGGTAGGAGGTGGCGTGACCCGTTTGTGTGGTTGGGCATTATCGTTTTGCTATCCTGCACGGCCTCGTATTTGTTAGTTCCTGGTGTACTGACAGAAGATTGGTCTACAACGGAAGAACCCATGACGGAATCCGTGTCTTCCGTCAGCTTCGTCGGGCTAGGTTTGCGCATTTGGTCGTGCCGCCCTTCTTTTTGCTCCGTGCTCAGTCTGAAGACTCTGGTCGTGGCGGTGATCCTCTTCCTTCTCTTCTCCGCTTCCTCCTCTTCCTCCTCTTCCCACTTCTCCTCTTCCTCCTCCTCCTCCCCATCATCGTCATCCTCCCGATCTTTCTCTCCTTGACCTTGCACCCCGCCTTCCTCCTCCTTCCCCTTGGAGGTTGAGGAGGCCAGCCTCGCCGTCCTCCCCGCCCCGTAGCCCGCTGGCGGACACCCCCTCGCACCGGGCTCTTGCCCCTGCCTCCTGTCGCAAGTCGTTCGCAGGACCCTCCCCCTTCCCAGGGATATACTTGGCGGCGCGCAGGAAGGCTTCTTAGGAGGAGGCTGCGTCTAAGAGGGGGCAAGGCCAGCGCCCTCTAAGAAGCAGCCTCCTTCCAAGAAGCCTTCCCTCCTCCCCCTGCCTCCCTCTGCAGGCCGCCAAGATACTTCTTTGGAGATCCCCCCCCGAGAAAAGTATTCGCAGGGCGTCCAGAAGCCCCTCCCCCCCCTTCTTCGGCGACGACGACGACGTCGCCGCCGCCACCAAACGACCTGGACGACGACGACGACGACGACGACGACGACGACGACGACGACGACGACGACCACGATCACGACCGCGACCGCGACCGCGACCGCGACCGCGACCGCGACCACGGTCACGCCCACGCCCACGCCCACGCCCACGCCCACGCCGATGCCGACGACGACGACGACGACGACGACCACGACCCCCGACCACTACCTCGACCACGACCATGACCACGACCACACCGACGCCGATGTTGATGCCGACGCCGACGACGACGACGACGACGACGACGACGACGGCGGCGACGACGACGACGACGCCTACAGTCAACCCACATAGTGAGGACCCTTGCATTATTCCCCTTCGGCCCATCCTTGACCACTTTAGCTGGCCGCGCCCCGCTCGCAAAGTGTCGACATGGCCGTCCAGGACCCGTGCATACTTTTCTTGTGTCCTTATGATACGGATTGACTGTGCGACGACGCTGCCGGCGACGACGATCTAGCCCTGGTGGGATGCGATTAATGCACAAGGGAGCCTCAGTGGGATTCGACTACGGCTGGACCGAGCGATAAGAGGACCCTAGTAGAGTTGGACGCATCCCCAGCAGGATTCTGTGCAAGATGGCCGAGCCTTGGTAGGATTCTAGTACGGCTGGACCCAGCTCTACAGAAGTTCAGTATTATTGTTGGGTCGTGTAGAAATTCATCAGAGCTGAACCAGCCTTGGTATGATCCAGTAGGATCCGGAGCCCGAGTAGGGTTCGATGAGAATCGGACCCAGCCCTAGTAGGATTATTTTAGAGTTGGCTTGAGGCCGAATCAGATTATGTCAGAGGTGGGCCGAGCCCGGGTATGATTCTGAGAGAGGTTGATCGACCCCTAGAAATGTGTTGTTAAATATAGGTGGTGCATGCAGGATGATGCTTGAGCTGGATCTGTTTGTTTAGACTCGCTTAGAGCTGAATCAAGTTTTCACACATTATCTGACAGCTACATCCATCTCCATTGGGATTACAGTCGAGCTGGATCGACCAGTACTGCGACCTTTAGAACTGTACGCAATCATATTACCACTCCGTTACAGCTGGATCGGGCCCCAGTAGGATTCGATTAAATCTGGATCCAACCCTCACGGGATTGCAATAAAGCCGGAGTGAGATTTAGCAGGGTCCCATTATAGTTGGATCCAATAGAAATGGATTCAGCCCCAGTAGTGTTCCATTACAGCTGCATCGGGCCTCTGTGGGCTTCGATGTGGGCTCGATCGAACTCGAGTAAGACACACTGAAAGCTAGACCCAGCCCTAGTAGCAGGATTCGATTAGAGCCAGATCGAGCTTTAGTCAGATTCTGAAAGAGCTGGATCGACACCTCGCAGCGTCCTATCAGAGGTGGCACCTGGCGCGGGCGCCCGGGACAAGTGTGCCGCCGCCGCCGGTGTCGTAAGCGTCGTCGTCGTTGCCAGGGGGGGGCTTGTGGACCCCTCGAGTAGTTTGTTCGGGGCGGGGGGGGGGCGAGTTCTGGACCCCCCGAAACATTTTCGGGGGGTGCGGTCCGGACCCTCCCGTGTTTTTTCGCGGGGGGGGGGCTGGGGGGAAACAGCCATGTTTCTCCCACCAGCCAAAATTTCTCAGGCCAGCGAGGGCGGATCGCGCCCCCCCTTCCCGCCCCACCCCAGGCAGCAGCGAAACATAGTGTTCTTGCAGAGACATCCTTTGGAGAAGTAACACTGAGTGTGCGTCGCCCCCCAAAAGCGGGCGACGCTCGCGCCAGGAAATCTCATAATATATGTTCGGTGGCGGGCGTGTTCTGAACGTACCGTTGGGGTAACGATATACGATAAGATTGTTGTAGGAGTTGGTCGGACGCGCGCTTCCAAGGAGGACACGTAGTGCTAGCACGTCTTTCTGCGTCCCACGGGGCGAAAAGGTGTATTGCATTATCGTTGACGCATCCAGAGTTTCTTTCTGGTCTGCGTTGTCCTCCTCCTCCATATCCTCCTCCTCCTTCTCCTCCTCCTCCTCCTCCCTGTCCTCCTCCTCCTCCTCCTACTCTTCTTTCTGCCAGCCTTCTACTCCAGCCCCATCCCGCGCAGCATGGGCACAGCATCTGCCACCGAGACTTGAAGCCAGAGAATTTCATATCGCGAGGCTTTCTGGCGCTCCGCCGACCCCAGCAGTGCGCGTCGTCGTGGGGTGCTCGCGGTCGGAGCCGCCCCTCCTCATGCCAGTGGTCTCCTTCTCGACTTCATCATCGTAGGCCACCTTACTCTCCTCGTAGTCGTCCTCTCGTCCTCCTCCTCCTCCGCCTCCTCATCCTCATCGTCATCCTCATCCTCCTCTCAACCCATGCGGCTGCCCTTGCTCATCCTAACCCGCCTTTCAGGCCAGCCACCACCACTGTGCTCCTCCTCATCCTCTTCTTCCCGCCTCATCCATCCCTCCTCTCTGCCTCCTCCGTCCTCCCCTCCTCCCCTCGCCTTTTCTGCCTTATCCTTATTATCTCTCCCTCCTGCTCCCCTTCATTCTCATGACTCCCCTCGTTCGTCCCCCAATCGAGGCGGCGGCGGACGATGGCAGTGTCGTGAAGACGTGCTCAATTCTAGTCAGCTCGTCTGGGAAAAACCTCATGACCCGTAAGGAGGGCGAGGGCTGCCCCAGTCAACAGTGAGAGCTGCCAGAAATGAAAAGCAAGCTGACCAGACCATGGAGCGACGCGCCTGTGGCGCCTTTCACGAGATGCCGCACGGTTGGCTGAAATTCTTTCCAACTTGTCAGTTGTGAGGAAGGGGTGCAGGGACGGGGGAGGGGTATTGGACGAGGGGTCTGAGGCGAGGAAAGGAGAGGGAGCACTTTCCTCAGGGTCAAAAGGACATTCTCCGTCCAGGCTAGGAGTCGGGCCTGGCGCCGGCAGCGGCGTCGGGCGCTGGTGCCGCGTCCTGCGGCGGTGGGAGGGCAAGTTCCTCGGCGGGGGAGGGGGAGGAGCATGCAGGAGGCAAGGGCGAGGGGGGTACCAACGGCGCCCGAGTCACCCCGTTTCTTGGAAGTTGTGGTCCGAGCAAAGTCGGGCGCCTCCCAGAATTCGGACATCATCCTTTGAAATCATGAGATCTTGCTTGCCGGTTGGAGGGCTTGTATATCCGTGCTCCAATGCATTCCCCAGTAATGTGTGTGGGTCCTCCATGGTGGGGGGGCCCTCCTTCCAACGTGCCGCGCTCCATGTCTCGCATGGGGCCCACCCGGTGACCCAGACACGTCGTGCTCTGATGCGCATGGCCCACATCGCGAAAGTGTCGTTACGCGTAATGTCACATCGTATCGTATCGATGGCGATTTCCATGGAGAGTACCGTGCATATAATGCACGCGTTCAAGTTCATGTTCTCTATCTATGTGGTGTTGTATGTCTCCCGTGCGTCTTTTCCCACGGTACATATTCAATACATACACCTCCGCTCGTTGTATCTTCCATGGTATGTGCCGTGTAGCCGGCTCCTGAAAATCTTGCGGTCGGAAGAGATGGGGCAGGTAGGGGTTGGTAGCCTCCCGAGGCTGTGGGGCAGGTTGGTCGGTCCAAATATCAGTGAGAATTCCAAGGATGTCTGGCGTGAGCTTGCAGCTGTATTCCCGAAGTACTTCCCTGGCTTCTTTTGCTTCCAACGGTCAAACAAAAACGCGCCGATTCCCTCCAGCAGACCGTCGGCACACGGCGCTGGAATAGATAGCTGTGTGCGCCGCCCTCCACCGTCCGAGGCCTGCCTCTCGCTGGTCCTGGCCCTGCCGGCGGTCCTCGGCTGCTGCGTCCGCAGCTGCTGAGGCTGACAAGTGCGTACACCTCGGGCGATGCTTAAGAAAACTTACATTTTCGGCCAGGGTCTCGATTATTCTTAATGTTTCAACGTAAATCCTAAGATTTTAATAGAAGTTCCGGGTTTTATTCAAGTTCTGAGACTATGAATTTCTTAACCCATGATTTCTTAAGCATTTCGCAGGGTGTACCGCACATGAAGTGCAAAAAACAACATCGCGAGGATTCGGAAGCCAGGTGCTCCCGAAGGAGCCGCCCAGATGCAAATTCTAGACGCTTCGCGTAACCCCACCAGCGCCTCTTGGAGCGTCTTGGGGGCCTCTTGGCGGTCCCGGACGCCTCTTGGAGCGTCTTGGGTGCCTCGGAGAGCGTCTTGGGGCCTCTCGGGGGTCTGTTGGGAGCCTCATGGAGGCCTCTTGGAGCCATCTCGAAGCGCTCTTTGGAGCCTTGGGAGCGCTCTTGGGGCCATCTTGGAGGACATCGATCAAACAAGAGGGGAGCATTAATTAGCGTTGCCCCTCGGGAGCCCAAAAAGTCGTCTGTAGGGGCGTTCTTGGGGAGCACTTGGAGCGCTCTTGGGCGCTCTTGGGGCCGTCTTGGGGCTCTCTTGAGTCTCTCTTGGAGCCCTCTTGGGCCATCTTGGAGCCATCTTGAGGCCTCGGATGGCCATCGTAAGCGACAAGGCGAGAAAGCCAAAAACATGTTCGTAAGGTTTTGGAAGGAGTTGGGCCTCTTCGCGGCCTCCTGGGGGGCACTTGGAGCCGTCTTGGAGCGGTCTTGGGGCTTCTTAGAGCATCGTGGGAGCCATCTTGAGGCATCTTGGGATATTTTGAGCCATCTTAGAGGTCATCTTGGGCTCTCCCAGGCGCTCTTGGAGTCATCTTAATCAGTGCCCCCCCAGCCGAGAGGCCAACATGCGGTCAAAACCTTAGTAAAGTCAGCGATTTTAGCATTCTCGCCGCGGCCTCTTGGAGCGTCTTGGGTGCCTCTGGGGGGCCTCTTGGGGGTCTCGGAGCCTCTTGGGGGCATGCTGAGGGCCTTTTGGGGCCTCCTGGCCACCTCTTGGGGCCCTCTTGGAGCACCCTTGGGAGCCTTGGGGACCATCTTTGGGCCATCTTGGGTGAGGAGGAGGGGTAAACCCCTCCCCGAAGGGGAAGAAGGGGGTTGAGAGAGGAAGCTCCCTAGACCACCTACTCCCTAAAGGGCTGGTGGGATTCTGTAGCACACGCTCCGCACACTGCTGTAGCACCCGTCACGTGCTCCGGTTGCGATACCATGGTGTAGTCTGTACGTATTACATGTTGCTTGAGCGCCCTAGCTTTCGGAAATACTGTCGAGCACCATGGGCACGTGTGTATGATGGGCGCTTCCCGTTCTCCTGCTCTGAGAGGGTGATCCGGGTGGGTGACAGGGGGGGGGTACCTGCTGCTCTGATTTATATGACAGATACCTCGTTCGGCCTTGCTTTCGACGAAACATGAAGCCGCTCAGAAAAGGAGGGAAACCCTGGGACGCACCCCGAGGGGGCTACTCGGACGCACCCCATCTCGAGAATGGACGCCCCACCATCGTACCTCCCAGGGTTGCGCCCCTAATTGTTGGCCCCTCCGAGAAGCCCGCGAAGCCTGGGATAGGGGTCGGCACATCCCCTGCTAAGGGGGACAGAGAGAGAGCATCGCAGGGGGATGAGGCTGCGGGAGGGAGAACAGCCGCGCCGTCGAGGAGCAGGGCAACTGCAGCGGTAGCCGGCTTGCCTCGGCCAGGGCCCCCGCCTCCCCCATCGGCCACATGCTGCCGGCCCCGGGCGGGGCCCAGCGGCTTCCTCTCGAAGGACCCGATCGAGAAGAACGTGCTGAAGCTGATCGACTTCGGCCTCTCCTGCCAGTTCAAGGCCCCCCCGCGTTGTGAGAACACCGCGACGGGTATAGTCAGCTGTTCGCCGTGTTCGGCCTCTGGGGTCCCTTACCGGGTCTCGGGACCGTCGAAAAACGACTCGGGATGAAAAGTTGGTCCCGGGGAAGTCGGGGGCGGCAAAGAGGGGAGTGATGACTAGGGGCGGGTGGATATCATGGCAGGGGGCCATGATATCTCCCCAGATTTCATGGCGCCCCTTCTTATTTCATTACGTCCCTGGCACCCCCCCGGTCCTCGCACATGTTTCGGGCCATGATTTGCGCCCCCCCCTCTTTGACGCCCCCCTCTTGGCCGCCCCCGAGAAGGGGTCCAGACTTTCGGGTCGACGTTGGGACAAAATCACGGCGTCTGGGATCTGGGGCAGCCCCTCCTGCCAGTTCGAGGCCCTCTCGCCCCCCCCGCCCGAAGCCGTTCTTCCCAAAAGAGGGCGGCATGGGCGCGTCCAGGACCGCGAAGCGCGCCCGGAGGCTGGGGACTCAGAGACGCAGAGCGCGCACGGGGCGAGGGCGTGGGACCGAGAGTCACGCGTGCCCTGAGTCGGTCGTGTCCCTCTTCAGGAGGATTCTTCAAGAGTGGATCAAGGAATAGTCTGGGGTCTGTGTTTTACAAATATGTTTGAGCATTTCTTTCTTGTGTGTAACTATTCTTTATGTTTCGTCCATACCCGCCTGTAGGAGGACACGCCCGACCTAACGCATGCCCCTGAGCGCGCTGGGTCAGAGCTCTGGCCCCCCCACCCAGACCCTGGACGTCGTGATCTGCTCACAGCGTCGACCCCCAGATGTCCGGACCCCTTCCCCGGGACCGGTTCTTCATCCTGAGTCGTTTGGTTGACGGTCCCGAGGCCCGGCAAGGGCCCCCGGGGGCCGAAAACAATCAAAATAGAACTACCCGTCGCGATTTTTTCACAGCGCGAGGGGGCCTGGGGAGCGCGCTTGGTCAGAGCTCCGCCCCCCCCCACGACCTCTCCTCTCGGCGGCAACGCCAGGAGGGGGATGAGGCGCATCGGCCACGCGCAGAGGCGTCTTAGAAGCACCCCAATGCATCTTAGAAGGCGCGGGCCTTCTCTATAGATGGACACTGCCGGCGCCTTCTGTGAAGCAGCCTCCGTCCTCAGAACCCTTCCCTGCCCCCCTCCCCCCCACACCCTCCTCTGCGCGCCAAGCTCAGGGGGGCGCAGCGGCCCCCTATGGCCTATTCATCGCCGATAGGGGCCCGATGGCCCCGTCCCACCCAGGACCGTGCGGATTTTTGCAATCGGGGTCGTGTCGCCGATGTATCGGCGATGTATCGCCGATTCTAGGTCTCGGAGTAGGAAAAGGTATCCATACCATTACCCTTCCCTCGTTTTTCCCTTTTTGGGCCTCGTGGGAGCCGCTAAATTCGCTTTGAAATCCTGGACAGAGCGCACCTCGGGAGAGGTCCAGGGAGTAGCGGAATCGGTACCTTCTGCTTCTCCCAGATGTATTCTCGCCGATTCCAAGTCGACGTCCCCCCCTGACCTGGCCCCCCCCGCAACGTTGCCCCGCACACCTCAGGCGATCGCACACATGGATCAAGGGGGCGTGGATTAGCGACGGGTCCCGTTTCCATGGGAAATCGCGGATTTCCGCCGCCGAGCGAGGCTGCACCCGCCGCATTTTGGAGAGGGCACCTCCCCCGATCCATGGATCTGGCGACCGCGCGCCAAGTCCATAGATCGCTAATCCATGTTAGCGCGCCCCCGAACGCCCCCCTCCTCTCCAGAGCCCATTCCGATCCGATCGATCCGAGTTCGGTCTCGAGCTCACCGGGCTCGGTCCGCTGCGGCTTCGGTGCTCCAGCGACCCGGTGCGGCGTGCTCCTTGCACGGCGCTGATGCGCATCCTGGGGCGGCGGAGCCGATTGCAACGGCCTTACGGCCAGTGCCGCCGACGCCCACGACGACGACGACGACGACGACGACGACGACGACGACGACGACGACGACGACGACGACGACGACGACGACGACGACGACGACGACGACGACGACGACGACGACGACGACGACGACGACGACGACGATGACGACGACGACGACGACGACGACGACGATCTTGACACGCGACCCTGATACTTGGTGAGGCCCTCGTTCGGGAAGCACCTCTTGGGGATTCTCTTGGGAGCCCTCTCTGGAGGACGGCCGATCCGCTTCGACTTCGGCCCCGTGCCGGTGCCGCCCGGTCCGACGCGCGTTGCGAGGCGGGCCGGTGTCCCCAAGGCGGCGGTGGCGGCGCCCGTCTCTTGCGGGGAGAGGGGAGGAGGGAGTATCAGCGACACGCCGCCGGCCCGTTGGCGTGTTGCTCCTTCGGTGCAACTTCTTCGGAGCGATCGAAGTAGGTGCAGTGGGAACCCATGCCAAGGAGCACTGAGAACAGCTGGGATCCCTGCAGGATCCATTTCGATCCGATTCATCGCCGATGCTCTGGCGATCCGATGCGGCACGATGCTTGCATGGCGGTGTTGTACATCCTGGCGCCCGAGATATAGTGGGAGCCCATGCCAAGAAACACCCTGCTTGCCTCCAGGGTGCCCTGGGTTTCTTGGGTTTCGATGGTTTTGCGATGGAAAGCGCGACATTCCCACGCCAAAAATCAATGGGCGTCCTGGGGTCTCAGGGTTGGGTCTCTTGAGGAAGGTTTCTTGTGGTCGAGCTCCTACTGCACGGAAAGGGTACGAAGACCGACAGCAGTTCTTGTTCATTCTGAACCGGATTGGTTGTCCGTGCTGGGCCTTGTCCTTGTGAGACAGAAGGCCGCTTGCCGGACAGCGGCCGCGGTCGGTTTTGGACAACGTTTGTTGTTGAGCATTGTAGCCAAGTTTTCCCGTGCCCATTTCGGGCGTCCAAAGATTCGGGGAAGCGTAAGACTCGATTACGACGAAGCTCGGGTTTGCCGACACTTTTTGACGAGCGCATCCTGGATTTTGGCGGTCCAAATTCTGTGGGACGTTTGCAGCGGGAGGTCGCGTCCAATTTCAGATCGGGTCTCGTCATTTTCATGATGGCCTTGTCAGGCCATCCCGAGTCCCCTGAACTGGAGTCTCGCGTCTCCTTGACTAATGTATCCCCAGACATGATCAAGTTTGAGAGCTCCCTTGGCGAAGGACCCATCCACAGGCAGTTGTGAATACCGTCGTTGCGGGTATCGCCTTCGGGGGATCTCCTCATGGGGCCATGAGCCATGACGCGTGCGAAGGGTGTGCCGACATGGGGCGGGGCCGCCATGCGGGCGCTGCCACTGGGGCTTTAGAGGTGGAACCCGCCATGGGGCCGCGAGACGTGCGAGGCGTGCGCCGCAAGGGGGCGGGGCCGTCCGTGGACCTCCCTGTGGGGCAACGAGGCGCTGCATTGAGTGGGTCGGGGGTGGACAGAACCCCCAACAGTGACACGTCGATCAGTGAATGGTCCGTTTTCGGTTCTCGAGAGGGCGCCGCGGCCGTCATTTCCCAGGCTTGCGCCCGCCAGGTTTGGGCCCGAGGTCGCTTTCATTCGACCACGTTCTGCTGAAGGGAGGCCTGTCCATCCCCGAGTGGGGGAGACGCATGCGAACACCGCCACTGGGGTCGTCGGTGGAGCCCATTGTGGGGCCACGAAGCGCTGTACTGAGCCTGGGAGACGCATGCGAACACCGCCATTCGGGCCGTCGGTGGAGCTCCCAATGGAACCACGAATATTGGACTGGGCGGGGGAGACGAATGCGAACGCCGCCACTGGGGCATTCGGGGGAGCCCACTATGGGGCCACGAAGTGCTGTACTGAGCGGGGGGATACGCATGCGAACACCGCCACTGGGGCCTTCGGTGTAGCTCCCTTTGGGGGGCCACGAAACGCTGGACTGGGTGGGGGAGACGCATGCGAACACCGCCACAGGGGCCTTCAATGGAGCTCCTAATGTGGCCACGAAGCGCTGTACTTAGCGGGGGAGACGCATGCGAACACCGCCACTGGGGCAGTCGGTGGAGCTCCCTATGGGGCAACGCAGCGTTGTACTGAGCGGGGTGGACGCATTCGAACACCGCCACTGAGGCCTTTGGTTGAGCTCCCTGTGGGGCAACGAAGCCTAGCAATTTGTGGGGAAGACGCATGCGAACACAGCCACTTGGGCCTTCGGTGGAGCTCCTCATGGGGCCACGAAGCGCTGGACTGGGTGGAGGAGACGCATGCGCGCACCGCCACTGGGGCCTTCGGGCGAGCTCCCTGTGGGGCAGAAAGGGGTCGGACGAGGACATGCTCTGAACCACCTGAGCCCTAGAGGGTTGGTGGGATTACCCTGATTACCTCAGTCTCACATTATCCCAGGGCGGGTGGGGGGGCTTCTTGGGCGCGGCCGACCCTTCGAAAGCCAGAGAGACAGACAGAGAGAGAGAGAGAGAGAGAGCGAGAGGAAGGGAGGGAGGGTGAGCGGGATGCACGCTCCGATCTCCCCCGGCCACCCCGCCTTGTCGCCTTGCTCCCGCGCCCCCAATGCCCCTCTCGCCCTGCCCCCTGCCCCCCCTGCCCAGACCTTCCCCTGAGGCGAATCATTCACCGTGCGACGTTGGCTCCCAGGGGGCCGTCCTCGGGCCATGGGGTCTGCCGAGACATGGTCCGCCGCGACGCCCCGAGCTGTGGCAACGGAGAAGTTCACCGCTCTCCGCCGCCTCCTCCTCCTCTTTCTCCTCCTCTCTCGCTCCTCCTCGCCTTCGTCTCCTCCTCATCCCTTCTCACTCCCCTCCTCCTCGCGGAGGAGAGGAGGAGGAGGAGGAGGAGGAGGAGGAGGAGGAGGAGGAGGAGGAGGATGATGATGATGATGATGATGGTGACCAGTGTAAACCCAAGATGCATCAAAGATGTTGGAATGGGCCCTTCCTCCAAGCTCACTCTTCAACGGCCCCATACGAGGGTTTCTTTCCACTGAAGAAGAAGTGCTCCGTTGGGGGACAACCGCGTAAAAATCTTGATGCGTGCCAAAACACCTTTCTCAGGATTTCAACGCCACGAGTCAACCTGACTGTTGCGTCTTGATGATTTTGCGTCGTGCGATAAGACTATTCCTGGGACTCCAACACCGCGAATCAACGTAACTGTTGCGCCCTAACAATCCAGAATCTTTCCAAAACACCATCTCTGGTACGTCAGCCATGAGAACCAGTGAATATATTGCAAATGTTTGAAATGAATGTGCGCGGCGCTAAGGCGAAAGTCACATTTTGAAAAGGAACCGCCCTCAATCCGTCAAGCTCTTGCATTGAAAAAAAACGAATGTGCGCGGCGCTGAGGCGATAGCCACATTTTGAAAACCACTCGCCCTCAATCCGTGAAGCTCTTGCAAGTGTTTTCAACGAAAGTGAGCGGCGTTAAGGCGAGAGCCACATTTTGACATCGACTTGGCTTCAATCCGTGAAGCTCTTGCAAATGTTTAAGACGAGTGTGCGCGGCGCGAAGGCGAGAGTCACATTTTGAAAACAACCCGCCCTCCATACGTGAACGGGTGCCAGTTTTTAGTTTCACGCTCATAAATGTCAAGGAGGTTTCAGTTGAAACGCCCCACCCGCCCTTCCGACTGGCCTCGGGGTGCGACAGGGAGGAGTTATTAATCGCTTCGCTCATTCCGCCTCGTGGGGACCTCTTGGGGGCCTCGTGGGGGGGACCTCTTGGGGGTCTCTTGGGGCTCCTTGGCGTCGTCTTGGGGGCCCCCAGGGCCTCTTGGAGGGCTCTTGGGGGCCTCTTGGGGCCAGAGGGGGGGTAGTCGATTGCGGCTCCCCCCTCGGAGGCCACGATCCTCGTGAGGGGTGTCGAAAAATGGCCCTCCCTTGGAGCGCTCTGGGGACCTGACCGGGACCTGACTGGGACCTGGCGAGGGTACTTTTCGTCCGGGTGCACCCAGGGCCCCCCCCCTCGCGCGCGAACTAGAAATACTGTTAACCAGTTACCGGAGATCTTAGCACGCCTCTGGCCCGACAGGGAGGAGTTATTCAGAAGGAAACAGAACGGAGAAGCAGGAGGAGACGGAGGAGGAGCAGAGGAGGAGGGAGAGGAGGGGAGGATGAGGAGGAAGAGGAGGAGGAGGAGGAGGAGGAGGAGGAGGAGGAAAAGGAGGGGGCTCTCCGCCTCTCCTCCTCCTCCTCGCCCGCATCCCTCCTCGCTCCTCCTACGACCTCGGCGGCCTCCACGACGACGAAGACGGCGGCGACGGCGGCGCAGCGCCCGCGCGCCCGCTGTGCCGAGGAGGGCGAGTGGCTGAGGACCAAGGCCGGCACGCCGTACTACGTGGCGCCCCAGGCGCGCCCGCCGACCCCGACGACGGGCACGGGAACGACTCCTGCCTTTTTTTTTCGTCGCCGTGGTCGCCGTGGCCGTCGTGGTCGTCGTCGTCGTCGACTTCGACGCCCGGACCGCTCTGGCCAGGATGTCATGGCACACACGGCCTTGGCCACGACGAGCCTCCCAACGGCCAGAGAGGGGATGCTGCGCCTCGGCGGGCCCCGCCTTCGCGGCGAGCCCCACTGCCGCGGGCCGGGTCCTCCTCGAGATCCTGGCCAGAGCTTCGGAGGGCACCAACTATACACCAACACCGATCCTGGCCCAGGATCACCCTGGGCCCAGGATCGGTGTATATGCCTTCTTGCCCAAGGCAGGAGGGCGTATACACCGATCCTGGGCCCAGGGTGATCCTGGGCCAGGATCGGTGTTGGTGTATAGTTGGTGCCTTCCTAGAGCTTGCTCCGTGAGAGTTCGGTGGTCTGCAGTTTGTGGTGGGCAGTCGTCGTTGCGGTCGCCGCCGTCGTCGCCGCAGTCGTCGTCGCCGTCGTCGTCGTCGTCGTCGTCGCCGCGTCGCCCCCGTGAAGTGGCATGAGAGGGTTCTCTTGGGACTCAGGGGTGGAACGATCAGAAAGGAGGGAGGGAGGAGGAGGAGAACCAGTGTGAGCCCAAGACGCGTCAACGATGTTGCAATAAACCCTTCCTCCAAGGTTCCTCTTCACAGGTCCCTACAAGATTGTATCCTCATTGCGGCAAGTGGCCTATGAGAAGACAACTATATGTGAATCCTTAATCGTGCCAAAACACCGTTCTTGGGACTTCAACGCCGCGGAACAACGTTACTGTTGCGTCCGAACAGTCCTAAACCGTGCCGGAGCACCGTTCCTGGGACTTCAACACCGCGAATCAGCGTGACCGTTGTTTCCTGACAGTCCTAGATTTGCTCGAACACCACTGCTGGGACTGCCACCTCACGAATCCCTGAAGCAGCCGCACGCTCTTGAGGCGAATGGTGCGCAGGGCGAAGGCGAGAAGACAACATGTTGAAAAGGAGCTGCCCTCCATCCTTGAAGCTGCTGCAGACTTGTAAGACGAGTGTGCGCGACGCTAAGGCGAGATCCACCTTTTAAAAACCACCTGCCCCCATGCGTTGGAGCTGTTCCAATATTTCAGACGGTGCGCGGCGCTAAGGCGAGAGCCACATGCTATAAGCGACCCGCCCTCAACCCGCGAAGCTGCTGTAACATTCAAGCGTCAGCACAACAAATGGTGAGGAAGTCTCAGGCAAAACGGCCCGGCCCGCCCTATCGAAGCGTGCGTCTGGGGGTGCGACAGGAGGAGTTATGCAAGAGGCTCACGCCATTCCGACGACCCCAAAGCAGACATTCGGTAGACGTTTGCGCGAAAGGATGGGTTTGGACAAGCCTTCCGAGCACAAGCCCGTAACTTGACGCACTTCGTATCGCGAGCACCCTGAAACCGTGTCTGTTGCAGAGCTTCTTGGGGACCTTATTGGAGGCTTCCGCGGAGCTCTTGAAAGACTTGTTCGGGCTCCTGAAGACCTTTTTGGAGCTCTCTGTGGGCTTGAGGTTATTTCGGGGTTGTCTTGGGCCGTCCTGAGCGCCTCAGTGCCCGTATCCTGGCGTTCTTGAGCTGTCTTGGGCTGTTTCAGTGGGAGTCTTCCGCCTTGGGGAGGGCCCCATTGGGGCCTTGAGAGCAATGTGCGAAAATGATACGATGAGAAGCAGGGACAAGGGGAGCGGGAGAGGTGAAGAATTAGGTCCAGCAAGAAGGCGAAGGTGGAGGCAGAGGAGGAGGGCAAGAGAATGAGGAGGGACGGTCTCTTGGGGTAAGGAGGCACCAGTAGTTCCGGCGGGGAGGAGCTATCCGGCTGCCAGCGGCAACTCCCGCCACCGTGCCAGCCCAGCATTGGGGCGATGTTGCAGGCCTCCTGGGCCGTCTCCAGCTGTCGGAAGCTTGGAAACATGAGAATCCAACAACGAATGAACAACGATTCACCACAGTTTGTGTTTTGCCGCTTCGGGCCCAGAGCCTCCTGTTGGAGCCCTCTTGAGCTGTCATTGGGGCCTTTGCAAACTATTTTGAAGCCATCGTGGGCCGTCATGAGGCTGTCTTGGGCCCGTTTGGTGCCATCTTTGACCATCTTGGAGGCTTCGTCGTCCATCTTGGCTGCCTGTGTGGCTGTCCTGGATCTTCATGGAAGCCTTGGAGAGCTGCACGATGGCACCATGGCCGCCCAGAGACCCCCAGGAGTGGGGGTGGTGCACGCAGATGTGTGCGAGGTGACGGGCCCTATTGCCGCGATCCTGAAGCCTTTTTGTGCCGTCTTAAGCGAACGTAAGCCCAGAAACGCGAGAATATAAAAATCAATGTTTGATAAAAATGATAAAAATATTTATTTATTTTTTTTTTTTAAAAAAAAAAAAAAAAAAAAAAAAAAAAAAAAAAAAAAAAAAAAAAAAAAAAAAAAAAACTACGGACAACTAGTGTTGTGTGCTTCCTCGGGCCCTCCAGAAGCTTCTCTTGGGGCCTTCTGGAGCCGCCGTGCGGTCTCTTTGAGCCATCTTGAGGCCATCATGGGGCGTCATGGGGCTATGTTCGGCCATCTTGGAGCCAGCGTCGGTCGTCTTAGAGCCACCTTGGCGGCCTGGATAGGTTTCTTGGACCGTCTGGGAAGGATCCTTCGGGGGGACATGCGGTGCATGCGCCACTCTGTGACGAGAGGGGGGGGTCCACTAGAAGACTACAGAATCCCTGCCAGACATCATTTGGCATTCTTCTGCGCCTCATCGTGCCAGGAGGCACGTGGCGACTGACGGGAAGCGTCACCGGCGTGGACCGTTTTTATGCATCAGGTTTTCTGTTCTCTGACTAAGGGATGCGGAGCGCACGGTGGCGGACGACGGGAAGCGCGCTTAGACTCGAAGAATCGCGCGATGGACGTATGTGAGCTCAGAGGGACGTATTCATCAATTGGGGAGGTCAGGAGGGGAGTGGTTCGGCATCGGACCAAGAATCATGACTGGCTGGATGACGGGAAGCGCGCTTAGACTCGAAGAGTCGCGCGATGGACGCATGCCGCCCAGAGGGAGTTATCAATTGGGGAGGTGCAGGAGCGGAATGGTTCAGTATCGGACGGGCGTTGGCGACCTGGCGGATGACGTGAAGCGCGCTTAGATTCAAAGAGTCGCGCGATGGACGTGTGTGAGCCCAGAGGGATATATATATATATATATGTATATTAAGTTGGGGAGGTGCAGGTTGGAACGGTTCGGGGTAGGACCGAGGTTCGTGATTGGTCGGATGACAGGAAGCGCGCTTAGATTTGAAGAGTAGCGCGGTGGACGTATGTAGCCCAGAGGGATATAGAGTATCAATTTGGGAGGTCCTAAAGGGGAATGGTTCGGGATGGGGCCGAGATTGGCGACCCGGCGGATGACAAGAAGCGCGCTTAGACTCGAAGAGTCGCGCGATGGACGTTGCATCCAGGCCCGGAGGGAAAATCTTTATCAAGTGGGGAGGTTCAGGGGGAGAGTGGTGGCGGGTTTCTCCGCCGCGACCTGGCGGATCTAGAGAACGAGCGTTTCTCTGAGACATCCTCTCCAAATCGCGACATTGGGATTCGCAGCTTAAGACGCCTTATGCTAGGCATGCTTGTTTCGGCCGAGACATCCTCGAACCATGTGGATGTTGAAATCGCTGGCCGAAACTTCGGAACTTCAACATTGGCTGTTTCGCCTCAGACATCCTCGAAACAATGGGATGCACCATGAGCTATGTTGAGACATCTTTTCGGAGCGCTCTTGGATGACCTCCAAGATGGCCCAAGAAGCGGAATGATTGGAGAACACATGGTTTGTCAACATTGTGTTTCAACATTGTTGTTTAACAGTGTGCGTTTCGCTCGAGGCACCCTTCTAAAATTGCCTTCGAAGGGGTCCTCAAAATCATCAGATCATGATGGACATGTCGATGTAGGTTAGGGTATGTAGGATTAGGGTATGTAGGGTGAGGGTATCTAGGGCTAGGTCTGTAGGGTTAGTAGGGTCTAGTTTGAGGGTCTCTAGAGATAGGGTATGCAGGGTTAGAGTATGTAGGGTTAGGGTCTGTAGGGTCAGTAGGGTCTCTAGGGTTAGTAGGGGGTTCGAGTTTTCAGGGTTACGGTACGTAGGGTTGAAATCTGCAGGGTTAGAGTCTGTAGGGTTAGTAGGGTCTGTAGGGTTAGAGTCATTAGGATAAGAGTATGTGGGGCCAGGGTGTGTAGGGTTATTGTCTGTAGGGTGAGGGTCTGTAGGGGTAGGGTCCACAGGGCTAGGATATCGTAGCACCCCGCAGATGTGGATAAGAGTGGGGGGGCGGTGTGGACGTCAGCAGTTTGCGAGATTCTGGAGAAGCCCGCCGCAGGCGCCAACGTTTCACTAATTATACAACGAGCCCGCCGCAGGCGCCGGTTTTTTCGTCAAACCAATGTGGGTAGGTCGCGTGTGGGTAACCAATGTGGGTAGGTCGCGGGTGGGTCGTTGGGTGGGTCGCGGGTGGGTCGCTGTTGGGTCGGGGGTGTAGAGGGCAGAAAATCCACCCCATAATGATCACCCCGACAAGCGAAACCGTTTAGTAAACGCACGCAAGGAATGAAGAATGAATCGAACAAGGCAGGGCTGTTTAGTCAACGCCCAGGGCCGTTTTAGTAAAAGTCAATTGTCGGGTCCGGGTGGTTTTTTCTCTTGAGGGTGGGTCGCGGGGTGGGTCGCTGGTGGGTCGCGGGGTGGGTCGCGGGTGGGTCGCGGATGGGTCGTGGATGGGTCGCGGGGTGGGTCGCGGGGTGGGTCGCGGGGTGGGTCACGGGTGGGTCGCGGGTGGGTCGCGGGTGGATCGCGGGTGGGTCGCGGGTAGGTCGCGGGCTGGGTCGCGGGTGGGTCGCGGGGTGGGTCACGGGATGGGCCGCGGGGTGTGTCGCGGGTGGATCGCGGGTGGGACGACGACAACAAACAATAACAACA